ATCTCATCCGGGACTCCGAACAACATTCGGGTTACTGCATATACATATCCCTATAACCCTAGCGTAACTGAACCTTAAGTGTGTAGACCCTACGGGTTCGGGAGACATGCAGACATGACCGAGACTCTCTTAGTCAATAACCATCAGCGGGATCTGGATACCCATGATGGCTCCCACATGCTCCTCGATGTTGTCATCGGATGAACCACTATGTCGAGGATTCGATCAAACCCTGTATGCAATTCCCTTTGTCAATCGGTACGTTAATTGCCCGAGACTCGATCGTCGGTATCCCAATACCTTGTTCAGTCTCGTTACCGGCAAGTCACTTTACTCGTACCGTAATGCATGATCCCGTGTCCAACACCTTGGTCACATTGAGCTCAATATGATGACGCATTACCGAGTGGGCCCAGAGATACCTCTCCGTCATACGGAGTGACAAATCCCAGTCTCGATCCGTGTCAACCCAACAACTACTTTCGGAGATACCTGTAATGTACCTTTATAGTCACCCAGTTACGTTGTGACGTTTGGTACACCCAAGGCATTCTTACGGTATCCGGGAGTTACACGATCTCATGGTCGAAGGAAGAGATACTTGACACTTGCAAAGCTCCAGCAAAACGATCTGCACGATCTTTTATGCTATGCTTAGGATTGGGTCTTGTCCATCACATCATTCTCCTAATGATGTGATCCCGTTATCAACTACATCCAATGTCCATAGTCAGGAAACCATGACTATCTGTTGATCACAACGAGCTGGTCAACTAGAGGCTTACCAGGGACATAGTGTGGTCTAAGTATTCACACGTGTATTACGATTTCCGGATAATACAGTTATAGCATGAATACAAGACAATTATCATGAACAATGAAATATAATAATACTTTTATTATTGCCTCTAGGGCATATTTCCAACAGAGATAAGAAATGAATAAGACTGAAAGGATTTAGGTAGCACTCCGGCTGAAACATGGAGGAATAGAACAGGAACTTCACAAGATGGGATGGCACTTGACGAGATGAACAATGCAAAGCCTCCGGAAGAATTGAAAGAGAATGAAAAGAACTTAGAAGAAGGATTGAATAGAGTTGTTGAGAAAATCAACAACGAAAGAATAAGCTTGTTGTGGACTTATAGATAACATCTCAAAAATTTTGAGGTGATAACCGACCACAAACGGAAATGATTGGAAAGCTGAGAGGAACGAAGAAATGAAAAAAAAACTCCACTTCAAAAGAAAACGGAGAATTAATTGCACTTCAAAATCAAGAAGGAAAGATACTAGAACTCCTTGAACAAGAATCTTGATGAACACTTGAGGAATGAATTAAATCCTGACGATCCACCGTGAAAAGCTCCGTTGACAAATGGATGATGAGATAGAATGAAGGATGAAAGAATAAGATGAGCCTTGCGATGATTTAGATGGAGGTTCCGACAAAATAGTCGAGGAAAATTTGAACTCCGGAAAAGAAAAGATGAAAACACCTGGAACTAGAATTTATTCCTCACGAACAAACTCCGAAGGAAGGGATTAATCACCTTGAGGAAATAAGAATAAGATTTATTGTATGCTTATCCTTCATCAAATTAAATTGATGACCAAAAATGGATTTTGAATACTACTTATTCTTGTTGGAAAAAGGATTGAGAAGGGATAGCACAAAACTTGAGAAAGTCCTCGTGAACCACCGGTAGGATTGAAAGAACGAATGGATTGAAATGATAATCAAAGAAAAAGAATCTTGAACGAACCATCGTAAGAATTCGAAAATGACTGACGAAAGAGAGATAATCACCGGAAGAATTAGAAGAACAAATATGCTCGAGGGGATTAAGATGCAAAAGGACAAAGAGATCATAAGCTGATTGAAGAACACTTGAACGAAGCACCGGGATAATTGGATAACGGTAGCTGGAAAGATGGCCTTCGGTGAAAAGAAACGGGAAAACAACTCCTGACATACTCTGGATGGATGAGAAAAGGAATATCTGACAAATGGAATAATTTGAGAGGATAATATGAAGCTAGAACCATGAATCTCCAGGAGAACGGGCAAAATTTAGAGGACAAACTCTTCTTCGGTCTTCAAAAGACGACGGGAAACACCACCAAAATTACTGAGATACTCCGGGAGAATGAAAAGCGAAGAGGTTGAGCCAACAATGAAATGATTTGAAATCGATCTTGGAAAGGCATCTGACTGATGAAATTCATTCTTACGTCAGGCTTGAAAAGAATATAAGAATTACTCCGGAAGAATTAGAAGAGTCAGGTAAGATCCTGGGAAAAGACCTGTGGGTTAGGGCCCACTGAAGAGAAAACACCGTTGGCAAGGATTGTTGAAGAGATAGATGAAGCACCGGAACAATTGAAATATTTGAATGAGGTGATAACCTCGAATTTATTGGAACACAGACAAATCTCCTGAGATGTCTTGAACACTCCGGAAGGATTGAATGACGAGAGGCAAACGAGCAAGGAGAACACTTGAGCCGAGGAAAAGAATATGATCAACACCGAATACTTGAATTGAATCCACCGGAGAAGAAAAGAGATGAAGAATGGCGAACGAGACGAGGATTCACCGGTAGAAATAATTTACAAAAGACTGAAGAGGTTCCGCACGAATGAGATAGATGGTCGAGAGAGAGTCAGACTCCGGGAAGAAAAGGGTGGGAGGGCGGGAAAAACAAAGGCAACTCGGGAGGGGAAACGACGAATATCTTGAAGAGACAACACCGGTTGAAATCATTGGGGAAAGAAGGCAAAGACTTCGCACGAGTAGGATGGATACTCGATTACGGACTCCGGTTCCGAGAAGAAAAGGGGTGGGCGGGTGGGAAAAAAACAACTGAGGAATTGAACTCAAAGATCAAGAGGCTCGAGTCAACTTGACGAGAAATGCACCGGATGAAAAGAGCTAAGAACCAACGATCGGAGAACCCACTGCGTGATCCTAAAGAAAGTTTGAACGGGAAGAGGAGTAATTCAAAACACCTACGTCAAGATTCCTTACCAGAGCGACGAAGGGGCAGAGGAGTAAAAAGAATTCCTACTCTCTGATATAACTAGACTCAGAAAATAGTTTTCTTCTAGACTCAACAACGGCCAAACTACACGATCAATCAAGGGGGCTCCTAGGGTCGGTCGAGGCTCTGATACCAACTTGTCAGTTTCAATATGCGGGTCTATCCTTGGTGGGACCTTCGAGTTCCTTTTGGATAGGGTCGCATATTGGGCGTGACAGGAGTAGCATTGTATCTACCGCGTTAATGACGACAAGTATTGGCCACATGGTGCAGCTGGATCTCGACGACGGATGTGTCTGGATGGACGACACAGGGTGGTGGCGCCGTTTGGCCCCGTGGCGGCATGACGGCAGACCTGACAAAGTCGATGCATCAGTACCTGCTCTGAAGATGGATCGGTGGAAGACGGCGGCGACGACCTATATATGAGAGTGCGTCGGATCGGTCTCCAGATTTAGATGTGAAGCTTAAGTGAGAGGTCTGGGTATTCGGCTCAGTATTTCTGCACCCCTTCATCAAGTGGTTAGGAGTAGCGACAGATGTTGCCAAGATGGCGGATTTAGACATATTGATGCAATACTTTGTAAGGTCTTCGTGAATAATTAATAAAATGGTTGCATGCATCTCTAAAAAAATGATTTTTCCTGATGGCGGCATGCAGGCAGAGGCAGGGGGTCATCCTCTAAAAAAATGAATTTTTCCTATGGAATCTTTTGAACTACATTTCATAGTAGAAAATCTAACATCCACTCCAACCTCTTCTTACAATTCCTTTGTCTTTCCTGTGGCATCAAACACTCCTTGCTAATCCTATAGGATTTAAGTGAATATGCCACTCCAATCCTATACTTTTCCTATTCCTGTATTTTCATAATCCTGTGAATGAAAATAGGCCCTAAACACTCCTTGCTAATCCTATAGGATTTAAGTGAATATGCCACTCCAATCCTATACTTTTCCTATTCCTGTATTTTCATAATCCTGTGAATCAAAATA